GAAGAGGAGGAAATCAACCAGATATATTCTGTTAAAACAGCTATATACTATCTTTTAATAATTTGTTTTGTTACAGTCTTTCTTTATTTTATCTTTTCCTTTCAATTTCTTTCTGTCTATCTATTTAATGTGTCTATCTTTAAGACTGTGTTCTCTTTTCCTTTGTCATGATATTGTTAAATGGTTTCAAAGTATGAGATGATGTTAAAACACTGCAATTTGTAAACAGTTTTTGTATTCTGAGCTGGAATTTTCTGATCTTGCATATCTGAAATTGATGAATGTATAATAGTTAACTTTACAGATACAGGAAAAACCCTGAGAACTAAAAGTTCTCAGGTAGATGTCATAGTCTCTGACTGCATACATCTATAATTGAAGAATAATAATAATAATAATAACTTAACATCTGTGAGCAGTTGTATATAGATCATCTCATTCTGTGATAGTATGTCATTCAAAAATGTGAATATATAGTCAATTGATTTGACCTTTCATTCTTTGATAGTTGATATAGTGAATAGACTGCATGATGTAGACCCTGATATCACTGCAGCATACAATCTTGTATAATGAATACTCTGCTGTTGCAAGAACTCTCTAATCACTCAGTGAGCTCTAAAGCAAATGATTTCTCTCTTATTATTGAATTTCTGATTATATACTTATTTATCTGTAAGAATATTCATTTCTGAGATCTTCTCAATGATAATATATATCTTCTTCTGTTCAAATATCTTAATCTTCTTTTTCATTGTCTCATGTCAATAGTCTCAGTCTAGACTTCTTTTAGCTTTCATCAGTGTAGTTAATCAGTCTGTCAGAACACTTAGAACAGAATCATTCTTATTAATGAGATCTTCAGACTCTTCATTCATGATAAGCTGTATCTCATTATTTAGAAGATAGATTGAATCAATTGCACTCTCTAAGTTCTCATTGATAATCATCTTCAAAACATCTGACTTTTTCTTTGTAAGGTGTTATAGTAAGCAGTGCTGTTATCTCTCTCTGACATTCAGAATATTCAATTCATTAAGTAATTCATTGAATTCTCTCACTGTATTTACAGGTGTATTTGCACTCATGTCAAGAGCTTCATCAAATATGACATCTCATGTAATCTCAAGACAACATGCAACAGAATCTCACACATGATATTAATGTAATTCTTGATATTCAATCAGCTGTCATTTCTTGTCATCAGTTCTATCTGTGAGCTTATTCAACACTTTCAAATTCTTCTTATAGACCTTGCACTCTTATCTCTGTATTCAATGAACAGAAGATTGCATCTCAGTTCATACTTTAAAAGATGTAAATGATGTTTCTTTCTTACATTTAAATATCTTTGTTGATATTGAGAATGTATTGATTATCATAATCATAGCTTGTATTGCTTCATCTCAAAGTTCTCTTTCTAATTCACTATTAAATAGTAGACTTCATGTCTTTTCTGTAACTATTTGATTTGTGTGTTCTGCTGAGTCATTTGATTGTAATATGTCAGATGTAGTCATTTCATATACTATTTCTTTGCTCTGACAGTAGATTTTAAGTTCTTGACTTTTAAACTCTTTTTCATCATCTCAGTGTAGAGTTTTAACTCAATATTGTATAGTTATCTCAATATCTGTGATGAAATTCATTAATCTTATAGTAGATTCTCTCTTTCTTATTATAAGAATTACTTATCTATAACAGATTGTATTATCTGTTATACTTAATCAGTAGCTTACACTTCTTCTAGTGAGAGTGTCATTTCTGTTGAAAAGTGTTTTTTCACTCTCTGTCAGATCAATGAAGAATCTCATTACTAGCTTAATAACTTATATTATAGATGTAAAGATTGAACATGTCATTTTTATCTGAACACAGACTTTACAGAATGATAAAGCTTATTAATCAATAATTCTTATCTCTAGATGTGAATCTGCTGTCATTTTTACAATATTTATGAGATTCAGATATTCTAGCTTTTAATGTCATTACATCATTGTAAGTTTCATAATCTTTGTATTATTCTTGTCAGATAGTGTTAATATTGTATTATTACTCTTTATTCACAGTGTATTCACAGGTTTAAAATCATTATTAAGTATAGTGAATTGAATCAAGTCTCTGTATATAACTGGCTTTTCTATCTTATAGATATCTCTATCATTCAATCTTATAGTAAATGAGAACATTTTATCAGAAGATATAAGTAATATAATATGATTATTTTCATATATCAGTTATTTGAAGATATAATCTTAATATATGAGCTTACTCATGCTTATAAGATTCACTTTCAATTTTAAAATGTAACAGATATTACTTAGCAGTATATTCACTTCTTCAACAGATATCTTGATATTCTCTATAGTTATAGCTGAAACTACTGTTCTGTCTGTCATTTTCAATATCACTTTCATCTTCTGAGATTTTGTTATGACAAGATCTCTGTGAGATATGACATGAGTATCTGATTCAGAGTCTAGAATTCAGATATCTTTTTCTATCTGATCACTTATATAGATCTTTTCTTTGATATAAAATACTTACTTTATAATATTGTGAATAGAAGCAGTATCTGTATTCTCTGCATTCTTGTCTTTATTCTTGTTTCTATTTATATTGAAGTTTGAAGAATGTTTCTCAGAGTATTTCTTTCAACAGTCAGTCTGAATATGATTAATCTTTTAATAATGATAGTAAATTCTCATATCATTATCTCTATATTCAGGTTTAAATTCAGTATTCTTATTCTTATTATTATCTTTGTTCTTGTCTTTCTTATTCTTGTCTTAAGTATTATTCACAGGATTTTTCATGAATTCAGTACTACTATTTTTCACAGTAGAAAGATGTAGAAGTATGTCACAGTATAATCTTATAAAGTCTTCTTCTAAAGATCTTAAATTATTCTTATCAATCTGATTCATTCTATTCTTTATAAAGAATGCTCAATCTCTATTAACTTCTGTCAGTAATCTATTGAAAAACATGATATCTTTAATTTTATATCTCAGATGAATATAATCAGTTCTGATAATAATTAATTATTTAATAAAAGCTCTGTCAGATTCTTTACTTTTGAAGATTATTTTAATAAGCTCTTTAAACAAATGAGTTCTGTATATAGCAGGTCTCTCAGAAAAGTTATTCTCTATGATAGTTTATAAAGTATAAGCTGATAATTTGAACTTCTTAAGTATAGTAAAATGAGTCTTGATCTGTGAAGCAATTGCAGATTATATATAATTATATAATTAAAGATTATATTCTTTTCAGAAATATTGTATATTTATAGTGATATTCTTATCAAGACTATTATCTTTAAGAATATTATCAGTTTCAGACTGCTCTATAGTTAAAAGAATTTTCTCTCTTCACATTAAGTAGTTAATGAATTTAGTGAGAATTATCAGTCTTTTAATAAGTCTTACTTAGCTTCTGAATTCTTCAAGAACTTTTATTATAACAGATATCTTTTCTTTTCATTGAAGATATTCTGTCAGATTTACTCTTATCTTATTATTTATAAGAGTCTCACTTCTACTGATCTTCATACACTCAATTTCATACTGAAGTCTTGCAATTTCAAGTCTTATATAAGTCTTCTTACTCACTGAGTCATTGTTATTTCAGTCACTTAAGTCTCTTGCATTGTCTGACATCTTACTGATAATGTCTTTAATCAGATCTTTATATATATTAAACTCATCAGACTGTTCTTCTGCAATGATTTTATTCAGCTCAAATATCTTGAAAGTTATCTTCTGATTTGTTATTAGTATTGACAGTGATCTGTGATCTTGCATTTACTGCTCTGACATTTTCTCATTTCTTTATCTTGAAGATATGTATTCTTTTATTAAGTCAGATGTCTTCTCAGATCTTAGATTAATCATGAGTTCAATTAATTAATAAAAAACATCTAGACACACATAATGATATGTGAAGATGTAGTTGACATGTTATTGTGGTTATTTGTTGCTTGCGAAGGGCTTCATAACCTCTTGAAGGATAACATTGTTGTGTTGTAATCTAACTACGCGAGTTACACTAAATGGATAGGTTGGGGTGGCACGTGACTAGGGTAGGTGTAGTAATCACCAACAGGCTTGTGTAGGTAACCTTGGAACCCAAGCGCTTCCATTTGCTGAGTCAACCATCCACCTGGAACACCCAGCCGCCATTCTCAATACAGACTAGCGCGCCGAGGGTCTGCAAGAGCCGACGACGATCTCCAAAGCGTAACTCCTGAAACATCACTACACACTCCAACCACCCTCCAGCCTATCTCTGGCGCCCGTGCCGTTGCGTTTGCCCACTGTTCATACAACCATCTTTTCATTTCTTTCGTCAAGTCGTCGTTCTTTCATTCTGCCAGATCAGACATCTAGTTTTCGTGTGGTATTTGGAGGTAGGTTCTCGTTTTCCCAGCCCCCTTCATCTCCGTATTGATGTCTCCTACCCTAATCTTAAAACAATACGTTCAACCGAAGGCCAAAACTCTGACACTGACTGGTTTCTCCGAAAGCAATCACTTTAGATCGTCCTTATCTGTACCCGTATTACTGCGCCCCCGGACATTCCTTTTAGTTGTTATCTCTTCTCTCCGGAAGAAAGGTGGATATCTCTGCCAACCCGCATCGCAACTGAGATAGCCAGTGTTCACCGCCCGAAATTCGGTTCTTTCCTATCGTCCTAATTTCCTCTTGAGCTTCTTTGGTCTCGTTTTTGAACGCATCAAAGTTGCCGACAACCCATGGTCTCGGTTCCTGAAAAGGACCAGGCAGACTGGCCACTGAACTTGATTTGATATAAAAGAACCCACGCCAAACATTTCCATAGTCGGACAATATGGACTCCACTACGGCTAATGGAGGGCCCGTTATGGCTGAGGATAATATCATCAATCGAAGAGGGGGCGAATCACTATTCCAGAGCTGTGCAAAGCCTCAAAAAAGAGACTCACTGAAGTGCCCGGTTTCGAGGCCCATCTCGCAGAAATGGAAAAGATGGACAAAGCTGAGGATGCGATAGATCCTGTTGCATCTGTATGGAGATGTCTGAGGCAAGGGTACCCGCTGATGACTATCTTCAACGCCTCTAACCCTGCAGAACCCCTTACTATCGACACTGATAAAGTACCTGAGGCGAGGCGACCGAAAGCAGCCGCTTTCAAGTTTCTACAAGCTTGCCTTCAGGATTTAGAGTTTCCGCAGCAGGACTGTTTCCTTATCACCGATCTTTATGGAGAAAACACCACGGGCTTTGTGAAGGTGGATACCCTCGTCTTAGCGCAGAAATAGTTGCTCCTCCTTGAAGCGAAATGCTAACTTGATTTTTAAAGGTCATCAAAATGGTTAGTCGTGTTCTGGATATTCTCGAAATGCGGGGCCAACTTTATCAAACTTCTACAGCGAGTGCAGTACCACACCAAGGGGAAAAGGTCAAGCTGACCCGCAAGGAGCATATTTTGAAAGAGTTGTTGGAAACCGAAAGAGACTACGTCCACCACCTTCAAAATTTGCAGGCGCTGAAAAAGGAATTGGAAGAAACAGGTGCCTTAAATGGCGACTCAAGTCATCAGATTTTTCTAAATCTCAATAACCTTCTTGACTTTGCGCAACGATTTCTTATTAGAATGGAGCAACACAACGCCCTTCCCGAAGATATGCAAAACTGGGGTGAGCTATTCATCCAACACCAGGAAGGGTTTCGCCAATATGAGCCTTTTATTGCCAACCAACTCCGATGCGATGCTGTCTGCCAAAAGGAATGGGACAAAATCAAGGCGGCGCCACGCTCAGTTGACCTCCAACAAATGGTGGCACAGCCATCTACTCTCAACGGTTTTTTTGTCAAACCATTTCAACGCCTGACTAAATATCCCCTAATGCTCATGGTAAGCCTTAATGGCTTCTTTTTAAAACTCCAATTCTTGCGACATGGCGCTTAAATTCTAACTATATTAGGAACTTAAAAAACAAACCGATCGCGAAGACCTTATTGCCGACGTTGCCACCGCCATCGACATAGTTCAGACGGTTTTAGATCGAGCTAATCATGCAGTTGATAAAGAACACCTTGCCAACGCCGTTGACGATCTCGCCTCTCGAGTTGATGACTGGAAAGCGCTCAATGTTGAGATATTTGGGGAGCTACTACGATTTGGTACTTTCACGGTGTTGAAGGCAGATGTAGGCAGAGATGCAGAAAGAGAGGTTCGTACATCTCTTACAGCTTATAATGCCCGACTTCGGCCCGCTTCACAACGCCGGCTTTCTTTCCATAGAGGCCCAATAAGAGTTCGCCTGCGTCTATTGTATACCCTTCCTTTGGCCCCTGATCAAGCCTTTCACAAAAAGCTACCTGGAGTATATTTACCCTTTGGGACTCCATCCCAGGATCTGTCCCCTCATTGGCCTGAGTCGACGGCTCTCACGTGGAGATCAAAGTTTCATTCTGCGTCATTAAAATGGATCAGCCTCCCTACTCCTAGCAAGCGTTCCCCGCCTTATCTGTCTCCAAGTTCCACTAGACAAGGCCCGCTCACCTTGCAGCCTAACACTTCTGTGGAGCACATTTCCTCTTGTCCGTCAGGTGGCATTATTTGCGATACACCTCATTCTCCATGCACCCCACCCTCCTGCTGTCCACGTCCACGCAAACCAGAAAGCCCTAATACCCATAATCGTGGACAGAGCCAACCTTTGCATACCTTGTCTGCTCTTGATCAATCCCTAATATCCGACCAGAGCCCAAGGTTATTAAACTTGGATGATCGCCTTCCTCCTACACAGAACTTGGAAAGGCAGGACAAGCATTCCCCTAAATAATTTTTAATCACACTCGCACAAACCTCATATGATCCGTACCTAGAGGCTTTTCTCATAGAATGAGAGCATTATAATTGACCATGGAATAATGGTCAACTCGAAACTGCTCTCTCCTTCAATTTCCCATCTGCTTTATTCCGAATTTCGATTCTATCGAGAATTATTCTCTCAGCCTGCTTCATTTCATTGGGCCATTAGCAGTTGACAGACACTCCGACGAGCCAAAATAAAGAAATCGGGTCTACTTTGTGGCAGGAATTCTTGCTAACTTGTGACGTTGTATTTTATCAGTATCACATCTATCTTTTCGAACGCATACTGCTTTGCTGCAAAGATGCGAATCTCAACAAACAAAAGACCAAGCTTATGAGCAAAGACAAACCAAATGCTGCTCCGAAAGGAAAGCCACGGCTTCAATTAAAGGGCAGAATATACATGGCCAATGTTACGGAAATCCTGTCCCTGCATAAGCCTGGTTAGTCCGCTGCTCTCTTTACTTATTTTCTGCGTATTTTGTTGTATAACTTGCTAAGACAATCCAACTTTTAGGGTCATACAAAATCCAAATATTCTGGAAGGGTGATCCCGGCGTTGTTGACAACTTTGTTATCCGGTACCAAAATGAGGATACCATGCGCAAATGGTACAAGGACATTGACACACAACGAGCTATTCAAACTGAAGAACGGGCGACAAGACACACGGGGACATCTGAAACAGAATTCACCTATCTCAAGATGGGCCCTAAAATTCAAAACCCTTATCGGGAGGAGTACGAGGCAGAGGAAGAGCTGGTCCGGGAGGGTAATACTTTTTCGGAATTTTCAGTATCCCGGAATGCTTCAAGTACAAGCTTGCGAGCGCGATCTGCCACGGGAGGAAGTGGCAGCTCTGGTCCAATCTCAAGTCGGCCTCCACCTCCACGATTTCCGATGCCAGAACCGCCTCTTTCGGTGTCCACCCAATTTGCTAACGGGGCAATATCCCCCGGGGACCGGAATGGAAATTCGTATTTTTCTCCAGTCACAGACCCTACTTCCTCGCGATCAAGTCAGTCGACTATGTTTGCGTACTCCCGCCAAGGCACGCCCTCAACTCCATGGATCGAGGACTCCAATCGGTACACGGCCCCTCCCATGCCAAGAGCCGCGTCCAGAGATGGGGCTACGTCGAATCCATACTTCAGCAACAGTAATCAACGGGGGCGCCCAGGCGCCCCGTCGCTTCCCTCCCTCTCTCTTCTT